AGAAATCCTTCCCTGCCTACCCACTCTTTAGGATTTCTTTTTTTAATAATATTTTTATTAAAAGCTTTAACTATAATAATAAAACCTACCCTTGTTTCCCCGAAAATAAGAACAGATCTTATATTAATTTTTGCTCCAAAAGACGCATTTGGGCTTATTTTCCGGTTAGGTCTTATTTTCAGGGAAATACGGTACTAAATGCATCTGTCTGGCTGACGATTTTAACTGGGGCTTATTTTTGGGGTAGGACTTATATTGGGAGCATCCTGAAAAAACCCATGCTAAGGCTTATTTTCCAGTTGGCTCTTATTTTTGGGAACAGAAGCTAATTAACACAAGCTAAAAAAGAAAAATAGATTAAAATGTCAAGAAAGGAAGAAAGAAAACCTAAGAAAGCGGCTGCCACCTTTATCATGACAAGTATACCTAGTTTCACTGCCTCTTCACCTCCCCTTAGTTAACAGATATAAACCTGTTCTTTAGGATTTCTCACCAGGCTGTCTATTGCTGCTTTTTTAGAATTTCTGTCTACAGTGATCTTTTCACTCCTTTTAGGAGCTTCTGAGCATGAACCCTGGCACCCTGGCTTGATATATCTGACCGAGGGTTCCGTTTTTTAACCTATAGGTTGGCTAGGTATTCCTACATATCTCACGAAGACACAGCGGTTGACTTTCCAGCACTATGACTTGCAAAGGACTTAATGAACAATGATTAAAGAATTAGGACAAGAAACATTTTAAAAAATCCCTTCTCCATGGAAAAAATTAAGAACGAGATGAACAAGGCTTTATCATTTCTTTTCATTAGGGCATATTCTAAGGATTTAGTTAACATCAAAACCAGGTAATAGCTGATTTTGTGAGGATTTCAGAGGTAGTAACATTCTGCAACCAACTATTATTTACCAGTAAGCAATATTATGTATACAAAATTGAAATTACTTGAATTTAAACAAGTATTAAACATGGATCATTCCAACAGCAAAAACAATTAAAACAAATGTCATACACAAATAATAACCGTCCATTACTTTGTTGCAGAAATTTTGTTCTTTTGCAGAATCCAGTTTTCTACTGATATCCTCATTAGCAGCAGTCTGAGGTCTAATTTGCTCCATATGGTTTGTAGCAGATGGTTTTGGAGAGGATGTACATGGTCTGAAAATGAAATTCAATTACATTAAAATAATTGGATTAAAAAGTGGATCATAAATATATTAATAGGAAATACAAACATCCCTTTATTTCTGGGGAGCCACAGACTGCTTTACAATGTTGATAATTGAGCTCTAGCAGTGAGACCAGAGGGTGATCTGCAAACTTCGGTTCACAAAATATTTATTATCATCCTGAATTCAATGCGACTTATCCAAATCAGCAATTTCACTTTCATATTTTCACAATGCTAAGTGAACTAACTGGAATTATTATGTTCTTAGTATTCACTAATCAGGGAGGTGGCATTTGATGGTCTTGAAATCACTATTTTCTGTAGGATGGAAAAAAGCTTTTTATTCCATGGCAGAAATGAAGCCAGGAGTCACCGCAGGCCAATTAGCAGCACAGGCCCCGCTTTTGCAAAGTTTTAAAGGAAATTATCTGGTGATGATGCAGACTTTGCTCTCCAACGTAGCTGCTTTATTTCAAGCACACTGTCCCATTCTGAACTTTCAGAGAAGGCCTGCAAAAGGATCCCCCAGGCAGGAAGTAAAAACCTCATTTCACTTACCCCACATCTTCCAATTCAGCTTGGTCTCCTGTTTCAGCAGCATCATGAACCGGACGCCCTTCAGCGGCTTCACCGATCGCCTTGTCTATCTGCTGAAGGACTCCATGCTCCAAGACCTCTTGGTCGTAGACCTCGACTCCCAGCAGGCCTCTGAGCTCAAATGCTCGGTCCTTGGGGGCCACGGACCGAATCTGCTGCCGGTCGATTAGCAGCGTGGGCCCCTTTCGGAGGGTCCCCAAAGAAGCCTCCGCTGATGGTGCTTTGTTCTCCAAGACCCGCCCCTCCCCGTGGTCCCCCACATATTCACGGGGCATCCAATCATCCCCTGGCTTATTCGCTTCATCTGCTTGGCCATTACTTGCACTGCTGCTGCTGCTGCTGGCCTCAAATTTCTCGCCTTGAAGGTTTCCTTCTGGCTGAAGCTTCTGGGCAGGCATCCTCTGTTCAAACACAAAAGGAAAAAGCCATTTTGGACACTGAATTTTAGGATTTTGCATTTCAAGCAGAAGCTCCAATTTTGAATTTTCATGGAACAAGCCAAAAATCAGATGATACACTTACGCACTTCAAAACCTAATCTAATCTCCAATTATATTCAACAGCCAGTCTTGGCATATACCACTGTTCTGCAACCTTAAACAACAACACACTATCATCTGCTCTCACAGAATTGCTATGATAACTTAATATTTTGTATATTAAGGTGCATGAGTTTATTTGTACATCTAGGGATTATGGGAAATTTTATGTAAAGGACAAAACTCATCAATTTAATTTTATTTTTAAATAATTAAGAATATATCATGATACACAATTAACTCCAGAAACATTACTTTCATAGGAGCAAATGGAGCTGTCTATTCCTGCTCTAGTTGGTTCAAGCAACAGATGAATTTCAGATGCTAGGCCCAGAATGAGGATCTGCTGATGTTGTTACCAACGTAAAGTATAGGCCAAATATACACAAAACGACTAAAGTTTTAATGTGGGAAACAAGCTCTCCATATTTGTTATTTCCACGTTTTGCCTATAAAGAATGGATGCACAGAAAGGATAACCAGTCACAAGGTGCCTCTTATTAAAGACTGTTCTTTAAAAAAAGAAAGAGCATCACCCTTCAAAGTGAGCATTTATTTAGGAACATCTCCGGGATACAATAACACATCCCCCCCCCCCCCCCCTCTTCCAACCCCGCCGGCCCACAAAGACCCCCTTGGTCCTTTCGGGCCCCCCCCCCCCCCCCCCCGCCCTTAAAAGCCTGGGCTGCAAAAGCAGCTGATTTTTGCCCCGCAGGAGAGGCTCTGCCTCCTTGGGCAAGTCTGCACAGGTCCCTTGGCGGCAGGCAAGATGGCACCGGGAGCCTCCCTGAGCTCCTTCTCTTCCTCCGCCTCCTCCTCCCCTTAAAGAGGGTGAGATTTTTATCCCACCTTGCCTTAGTTCTACTCTAGGCTGCCCAATAGAGCTTTTAAAAACTAGCCTGAGCTGAAAGGCCCCACTGCGGGAGGAGGAGGAGGAGGAGGAGGAGGCTTCTTCTTCTCAGGCAGGCTGCACCTTCGATAGCTGAGCAGGTTGTTACTGCGGGTAGATTCTGCTCAGCTCAAGGAGGCCCCGCACAGGCAGCCCTGCGGGGGGCGAGGCGGGCTGGCCTGAGACCGGCTTCCTAGGGGCGCCTGCCCTCCTCCTCTTCCTCCCGATCTCAGCCGCGGGGCCAGGCGGGGGCTGCCGGGAGAGGGTAGCCCTGCCTGAGCGGCCGCCACTCGGACACCGAAGCGGGAGGCGAGCTTCGAAGATCGAGGCGGCCGAGAAAGCGGCACCTACTGAGAGGCGGAGAAGCCCCGGGACGGAGCGAAGGGGAACCCGGGGAAGGGTGCTCCCGAAGGCCGCTCCGCTCGGAAGGAGGCCGCGGGAGGAGGAGGAGGAGGAGGAGGCGAGGCCGCCGGCAGCCTCCCTCAGCCACCCCGGGGCTGCTTTCAACCTGCCGCGGCCCCCCAGCAGACCTCTGCGCATGCGCCCCTCGGCTCCCCGACTTCCGGCGGGCCCGCCGCTCCGGCCACGGGACGCTCAGGGCGCCTGCGCGAAGGCCGCCCTCTTCCGGTCTGTGGGTGGACCGTTGGCTGGGACTGGGCGGCTCTCAGAGGGGCGGGCTTGAAGGCCCGGGATGCTGGGAGTTGAAGTCCACCCGTCTTAAAGTTGTCAAGGTGGAGGAACACCAGCAACATTAGAGTTTATTACTTTATTAGCTTTTTATCCCAGCTCTATTATTTTTATAGATAACATACATGACACTCCTTCCTCCTCCTACTGATACGAATGGACAGAGTACACACGTTTTAGTACAGGAGAGGCGCCTGGGTCTCTGGGGGCGTCTGGAAAGGGCCCCCCCCCCGGGGAAGGGGCGGGGGGGGGGGGGAAAAACAGGGCCCCCCCCCCCCCCCCCCGAAGCTGGGGAAAGAAGCCCCCCTCTACTGTGGGAGGAAAGCCGTGGGGCCTCCTGTCCAAAGGAAAGAACTGGAGCTCACGCCTGGCTCCTGGCTTTCCAGGACGGGTGGATGGGCATTCACCCTTTGCTGACCCCCACATATTAGGGGGGAAATTGCATATACTGGGGGAAAGGTCAAGGAAGGGGCCCATAAGCTAAAACAAGATAAACGTTCCTCCTGCTATGGAAGATGGGATCAGCTCCAAAACACTGATGAGCAGAAATAGAGAGAGAAGTGGTCGGGTAATGAGATGACTCAAAACTTGTCTGTAAAGGTTGTGCAGAAATATGGATGTGAGGCTCAGATCCTTGTACAGTAGATCTCTGGATTTACGTGATCAGAATCAAGTCATGAAGATCTATCGTATCAGCTATGATTTTGGAAAAAGCCATGCAAAATTTAGAAATAGCTCAACCTTCATGTTTAACAAAGACTTTCATGGATTAGACATAGACACAATTTTCAACTGTATAATAATTTTAATGAAGAGGAAAATTAACTTAAACTGGATGCAATATGTTACCCATAGTGTGGCCAATATGGAATGGAGAGTTACCCCACACCTAGCGACTGTTTCTAAGCTATTTTTGCCACATGTCTAGAACTGTTCCAGAAAAGCGACAAAGCCACATTTAAGGTAGCCTGAAGAAAGCATTGGATGGCCAATGTGGTGAACTGAGATTTCTGCAGGTTAGTGTATCCTCCTGCCACAGCCTCTCTTGGCTCTAGTGGCCGGCCAGCAGGTGCTCTGTGCTTTTTCAATGTCTCTGAATCCATGGTCAGCTCCAGAGACTCAACTGGTAAAGAGTTTGATTATTCTTGCTACTTTCTCAGGCCACAAGCACCTGGGGTTCTGCTGCCAGATTGCGGTGGGCTGGCTGGAGCATAAGGGAGAAGATGAATGCCATGGATGGTCTTCATGACAGCAAAGACCTGGCAGGTACAAGACAAGGTCAAGTTTGGGGGGGGGGGCGGGGACCATTATTTTACTGCCAATGAACACAGCAGATCTAGAGAACTTTGCTTGGGGTTAGGGAGTGCTTGCGGCAGCCTAAAATGGCCAGTGAGAGCTGGGTGAATCTCAGTCCTAGAAAGTGTCATCAGCTACCTTCTCGGTGAAGCATCTTAGATCATATTTGTGGCCAGAGCTATACTGGGAGAAGAGAGAGAACACTCCTTGATGGGCTGGAGTAGCCAACAGCTGCAGCTTTGTTGGGCTGGGGAATGAAATAAAGGCAACGCCTTGAAGACCGGCCCTTTAAGAATGGTTAGCAGGGGATGTTCATGTGAGGGAGAAGATGAGGTCGCACCTGTCCATTGTTTTAAGACTGGACAGAAGAGGTGGGCCAGCACAGCCTTGTTTTACCCAAGGGTGTAGAGCAGAGTATATGGAAGCAGGCTTTTACCTTGACCATTCTGACTATTGTATTCAGTGTAGTAGGAAATACTTCTGTAGGGAGAAACCAAGCCCAGGTTGCTTTCCTGAAACAGTTAAACGAAATTTGCAGTGGGGGGGCTGCTGGCAGGATTTCTGAGCTGGGGCTTATGGAACCCTGCAGATCTCTGCATTATTACAGTAGATTTTTGCTTAGAGAAAGGAAGATTTCTCAAGGTGCTTTTTAAGACTTCCTGATTTGTGCTGGCAAGTTGTTAATCAGTCTGTGGCAGCATAAATAAAATTAAAGAGTTTAATTAAAACTAATGAATGAGCGAACAGAGAATAGATAGCATGTTTCACTGTCAGAATCCTGATGTTCTCAATAATTAAAGTGTCAAAGAATAGGAGATGGCTTGAAAATGTCAGAAATATAGAAGAAAGAAAAGTTTTAAAAAACAGGCCTGCCATTTCAGAACAGCTTGAGAGTTTATGTAAGCCCGGTAAATATAAAATCCCATTGAGGGTTTCCAGACAAGCCACATTCCTTCCAATGTATTCTAGTGTAATTCTTTTGTTCTTCTTTGTCTATTAATTTTCTTAATTTCCACCTGGAGATGTTTTTTTTTTTGGGTCACCAAATGTTATATGTTATAGATGTTATACTTTGCATAAGTATAACAGAGCTCCGAGTCTGGGGACCTGATGGCACACCTAGGATTTAGGACGGTGTCATGGATGCTCTCAAGCATAACTGGGGGAAACGATGTAGCCCATGGATGGACAATCATAGAGCAAGGCTGAAGGTTGCCATTACTGATGAAGCCAGCCACGGGTTCCACCCCAACATCCTCCAACCAACGTCTTTAACAGGCTGTAAATTATTAGAGGTCTTTGAAGTTTGGCGATACACAAATACAATAAACGCAATGGGTCACTGAGTTATAATGAAAGCAAGACAAGGGACTTCTAATCACATACAGGTAGTCCTTGACTTACGACCACAATTGAGCCCAAAATTTGTTGCTAAGAGAGACATTTATTAAGTGAGTTTTGCCCCATTTGTTAAGTGAATCACTACAGTTGTTAAATTAGTGACATGGTTGTTAATTGAATCTGGCTTCCCCATTGATTTTGCATGTCAGAAGGTCACAAACCCCAGGATCGCATGACCCTGGGACGGTCATAAATGTGAGTCAGTTGCCAAGCATCCGAATTTGGATCACGTGACCATTGGGATGCTGCAACAGGCATAAGGGTGAAAAATGGACATAAGTCACTTTTTTCAATGTTGTAGCTTCAAACGGTCACTAAGCGAACTGTTTTAAGTGGAGGACTACCTGTAATACAGAGTTAAGATGAGATCAGTATCACGCTCCTGCCTGCCTGCCAGCCAGCCCTGGTCTACCGTAACCCACCCCTCAGACACAAACATTTTATTTATAGCACAAACATATTTTATTAGTGGTAGAAACAGAAACCTCAGCAACTACAGATGCAGGAGCCATTTAAGTGCTTTGTGGTGAAGAAATTCCCTGCACGACAGGTACAGGCAAACACAAACTGATACTTTCTACACAAATGGTTATAAATAAAAGCCAAAATTTTGTCAAACTGATTGTGTAAACGTAACATATAGGCCCCTTGGTATCATTTGAAGGAAATTAATGTGGGAGGCCGAAGAGATAGCGTCTGCAGTATGCAATGCTCAGGAGAGCTCCTGTGATTTTGTTCTACTGCAGCAGAAATAAATGCTCTTGCAAAACCTTAAGGGGGGAAATGAGACGTATACGTAAGTAAGATTAATCTGTAAAGCTGATGTCTGTCATGAGTCAACTTTTACAGTACGTTGCAGCAGGTTGGATTTGTCCAACTGCCTAGCCAGCATACTCCTTCCTGTCTTCAGTCTTGGCGAACATCTAAATATTTAAGAACTGCAAAGTAAATCGAAACGAAGGAAGTATTATTTTGGCCTTTGACCACAACTAAATGAGGAAATAATAAGGGAGGTAGTTTCCTTGATTATCCTTACGTTACTGGAATTCCGTAAAGACCTGAAGGACAACCTAACACCACTGCTTAGTATTTCACTAAACCAGCACAAATTCATCACCCCTTTCAGATGACCCCAAAGGATATGGGTTAGAGTTCTGCTGCAATCTTGAGGTAAACCTAACAGGAAAAAGTAGTAGTTCACGAATATGAATTCCAGGTGTTAGAGGCTTACTATAAACCTCTTAATTACAGCCCTGATCAACTCTGAAGGTAAATCTGCATCAAGTAATGGAGAAGGAGGTGTAAGACAGGTAAAAACACGAGCCACAACATTAAACACTTGGCTGTCAACATCCAGCAGGAACAGAACACGATTCTCAGAAACTGTTTGGCTAACGCTCACTGAGGGTCCCAACCAGCAATGAAATCAAATGACATTTCCTCATGATTCGTTCACTAACATTTTACATACATCCTACTGCTGACAAAAGAAACCCACCATACTACTTCAAGTATTAATTAATTTAGATTATTTTTGACCCACCCACTAGCCAAAGGAATAAACTGTTGGGAACACAGTGACAGCAGATGTTCCTCCAGAATAGATATCAATCAACTCACCTGAAAAAAAGTAGTATTTCCATGCAGATTCAGACTGCCCTCTCCTCTCCTCAACTACATATTGGAGGGGAATGCAGGGATATGCATTGGTGCCACCAAGAGCCTTGGTGGCACAGCTGACTAAGCACTGTTATTAACACCAGCTGCCTGCAATTACTGCAAGATCAAATTTCACCAGGCTCAAGGTTGACTCAGCCTTCCATCCTTTCGAGGTAGGTAAAATGAGGACCCGGATTGTGGGGGCAATAAGTTGACTTTATATAAAAAAAAAGGAACACCACTTGGGGGGGGCGAAAGCCCTACTAAGCAGGTATATACAAAAGTATGAAGGCTATTGCTTAACACATTGTAAGCCGCCCTGAGTCTCCGGAGAAGGGCGGCATATAAATTGAACCAATAAATAAATAAATAAAATATACGTATCCAACCCCCATTTTGTACATGGCACTGATCCATTTCCCAGTAGCCACCAAGGATCCAAGATCATGGGACTGCCGAGTTTCTCCTCTGACCCTGCCCTGCTCTTGGCCTACTCTTAGGGGCACTTTCTTGCTCCAGCTGCTGTTCAGGCAGATCGAAGGGTCTGAGTCAAGGCCTGGAAGGAGTGCGGCCTGCCCACACCAGCCTAAAATAACCCAGAGGTCCTAAGATGACACAACACACAACCTAATGGTTGCTGAAGTACATAAAGTATTACCCAAACCAAGACCCCCCTTCTTGTTTCCTGCTTAAGGGGGAATTCTTTTAGCACGGGAACTGCTAGAGATAAACTTTAGGGGAATTGGGGATGAGATGAAGGCAACGTCATGAGGACACGGCTGGGAAAAAAGAGGTCCACTTATGTTCTGGTGAGGGGCACATGTGGAATAAAGCTCCAGGAATAAAGAGTTTCATTCTGCCTGGCAACACCAAGTTCTTCAGATGGTTTATGCAGATGTAAAGGCTGATATCTCAGGAGTGATATATCTCTTAGCACATGCATCCCTTCTCTAATGATATTTGCAGATGAAGACAAAATTCTTCAGGGGCAATTCTTTCCATTTCTTTTCTCCTTCAGCCATAACTCAGTGTGGTTTCCTAGGAAACAAAGAAAGAAAGTAAAATTATTAAATTTGTTGGAACAAACCCAAATAATTAAAACAAAACTGACACAGAATGGTTTCAGTCCATTATGTGTATCCTTTTTAGTTCCTTCACACATCTCCAAAAAGCTAATTTACCATTCCCTTTCTTCAATGGGGGGCTGCTGAGTGGATGGGCGGAGGAGTCACCAGCCTTATGGTCTTGGGGGGCCCCTATCTGCTGCCCTGGTCTCACCAAGTGACTCGACAATTGGCAGGTTCAAATAAACCGCAAGCATTCTGGAGATGTTTAATCTTCCTAACTTCCCTTTTAACCCCCTCTAATTAGCCCCCCTCTTTCTGAAATCCACAAGGTAATCCTAGGCCTTTTTACATAAAAGAAAGATCCCTCTCTGTTTAGTAAGTGCAGAGGATGGTACCGATAAGACAGAGGGAGACGGAGATAGAGAGAAAGAGAAATGCAAACGGCAGGGGTGAAATCTACTTACCTTCCTTACCGGTTTGGAAGTGCACCTGCCACGTGCGTGCGCTCACTTCACTCACGTGCACCAGGAAGTAATGACACCTAGGCGGGAGGGCGGAGCTTTGCTCCGCCATTGCTACCGGATCGCCCGATCCAGTGCGAACCAGGAGGATTTTACCCCTGGCAAACGGCTATAATGTTGCTCAAGTATAAATCTATTTCGCAGGGATGCAAGAGAATAGAAATTTCAAATAACCTAGCAAATGAGTGGAGATATATGTGAAATTAGTAGCACCACATCAATAAAAATTCAGTATTTTATGTTACAGGAATATGTAAACAATCGTGTGATTGCTTATATACTTTTTTTAAAAAAAATGTATTACATATGTTTTAATCATATGGTTGTCATTATTTGCAGCCTGAAGTGGCACACCTGAAGATGTACAAGTTCGGTCAGGATCGGCTGTAAGTGTTAATTAGATGAAGATTTCCAGGCGGTTTGTTTGTTTTCACTGTGATTGTTCGTACCAGGAATTCCGCTTCTAAGTTGCATTTAACTTCAAGGGATATGATATGGTCATTTCCCCACGCGCCCTCTTTGAGCATCAACATTCAACCAATGTTGTGCCAAAATATCAATAATGAGGACAAGCTTCATAGAATTTCGGTGAAGGCTGGGCCATGCTATGAAGATGTAGCATCTTCTCAGTACTTGGAAAACAGCCTACGAGAATCCCCATCTCCCTTCTGGGGACACGGGAAGAGCAAGCAGAGCATAGAACATAGAACAACGGAGTTGGAAGTGGGGGTCTTCTAGTCCAGCCCCCTGCTCAGGAAGGAGACCCCATACCGTTCCAGAAAAGTGGCTGTCCAGGCAGATGTGGGAAGAAAGGGGTCAGCAGCAGCAGGGTTAAACTCAGTGTGCAGGTAGTTTCCAAGGTAGTTTCAGGTTATCAGATTCAATGTCTCAGGTAACATTCACAAACACCCTTTTCTATAGAATTTGAACCTGAGCGCTAGCCTTAAGTCCTACGTAATTATGTATAAGTGCACCACAGATGTTTACCACTAGATGGAGGTCTCCTCTCAGTTGTAAACTGCATCCCTGAACAAGCACAGGTTATTGTAACTTTGAAGTAAGTGATTTATGAAAACCTTTCTAATCCAAGTAGATTTCTGAATAATCTGCTAATTTCATATTCCAGAGGCGGAAGGACAGAAAAGAGAATCTAGATTTGATTCTCACGAGTAGGGAAGAACTGGTGGAGCAGCAGACTAAAGCACTGTTATTAACACCAGCTGCCTGCAATTACTGGGAGTTCAAATCTCACCAGGCTCAAGGTTGACTCAGCCTTCCATCCTTTCTAAGGTAGGTAAAATGAGGACCCGGATTGTGGGGGCAATAAGCTGACTTTGTATAAATATACAAAAGTATGAAGGCTATTGCTTAACGCATTGTAAGCCGCCCTGAGTCTCCGGAGAAGGGCGGCATATAAATAAAATAAAATAAAATAAATCAAATAAAAAATAAATAAATAAATAACTGGTTGGTGCTGTAGAAAAAAGTGGAGGGACTATGCTGCCTTGAGCTTCCTATGAAACAGAGTATATGTGGATACATAGAAAAAGTCTAGATGTGTAAGAAATAGAGTTAGACACACTCTGGAGTCCTAAAAGGTAATTTTTTTTAAATAAAAACTTATCAAGAAAAGATTGGAGCTCCATGAGTCCAGGCTGTTATAAGATCTCCTGTCTTGGGCAAGGGGCTGGACTAGAAGACCTCCATGATCCTTCCGGCCCTAGGATTCTGGAACTCTAATTTTGCCAAGGACAGGCTTCCCTGTTGCAAAGGGATTAAAACTCGCCCTTCCCCTTCCACGTCTTTCTTCTTTTTGAACTAGAGGGAGGGAGGGGGGGATCCACTTCGCTTGGATCTGAATCAGCACAGTCAGAGAAGGGGTGTGTGTTTTACCCATCATGTCTGTTCAGTTTTCATAGAAACAGAGAAAACTGACAGCAGAAAAAGACCCGAGTGGCCCACTGAATCTGCCCTTTGGTTTTTTTCTTGTTTTTGTTTGTATTTTCTGTTTAATTTTTTTTATTATTATTATTTTTGTCACCTCTTGCATTGCAGTAGACAGCAGGACAAAACCCCCAAACATCTAGAGATATGGTGCCTTGAAAGCTTGGTGCTGAATATTTGGGATGATAGTTGAATAGCTGGGAGAGTGAAAATTAATTAGCTTATTATTAGCGTTTCCTGTTGCACAGCTGACTGGGTGGAGTTGACTAATTAATTCAAGTGGACGTTTTGGGGGTTAAAATTCAATCTGCTGGGTGAGTGACTGGGCTACTTGGCTCCACTTTTGTTATTGTTCTCACAACCCCCGGACTCCTGCCCAGGTTCTGGTTCAGAGCATCCCAGGAAGAAGGTTACCGGATCATGTTCCATTAGCAGAAATAGAATGCCAGACAAAGTGCAGGAAGCTTGGGAGCTTTTCTGAAAACAAGGGACAATTTCAAAAAACACAACACGGAAGAAAAGCAGACGGAATTAACAAACCCCAGGATGGTGAGCTGCATAAAGAATTCAGATTTAAGACTTATGTAGAAAAGCACCCGTGGTGTTCATAGCTCCTAGCCTTTTAAACTATTGTTAATGCTTTTATTATTTTTACAATATTTTATTATTGCAATTGTAACTGTTTTTACGATCTGTTTCTAATTTACACTGCCCAGAGCCACATGTATGAGATGGGCAGCTATATAGATATGACGAATGAATAAATAGAATAACAGAATCCTGAATGCCTGCCCAGGATTCTCTCTGACTCATATTAGTTCTAAACAAAATCAAGGAGAAAGTCTTAAATTTGAGTGTTGGAGTTACTTTGCTCACCTTTTCTGAAGGAGCCTTGGTTCTTCTGAGCAGAGGAGCTGGCCCCGTGTGAGCGCCCTTAAACACATTTTCCTGAAATGTGTTTCCGCTCTGGACTTCTTTCTGGAGTTCCAGAAGCTGGGAGGCAGCAGCTTGTCCCAAATTTTCTCAGAAGGTAGAATCTGAGTCATGCATCAGACTGGAATTCTCCTCCAAAGAATGACTGACCCATTATTTTTAGCAAATGTTTTATTTAAGACAAAATTAAGCTGGTTATCATTTGGCACGTCCCAGAATCTAAGTACCAAAGAATTTCCTCTTTGCTCCTGCTAGGGTGAGATACACAGCTGAGCTGTTCCAGATGGACATTTTTTTAATGATGGAAATTACAGTATATTTGCTCTAAGTATTTCAGATAGGAAATACAAAGGGTTCCCCCCACCCATTTTCTAACATTAAGTTACAAAGTAATACATTCTAACCAGAGATGGGTTTCAGCAGGTTCTGACCAGTTCTGGAGAACCGGTAGTGGAAATTTTGAGTAGTTTGGAGAACCGGTAGTAAAAACTCTGACTGGCCCCGCCCCCATCTATTCTCTGCCTCCCGAGTCCCAGCTGATCAGGAGGAAATGGGGATTTTGCAGTAACCTTCCCCTGCCACGCCCACCAAGCCACACCCACCAAACCATGCCACGCCCACCAAGCCACGCCCACAGAACCGGTAGTAAAAAAAATTGAAACCTACCACTGATTTTAACTAACATTCTTGTTTTCTGCAACTCACTAAGTCCAAGTTTTCATGTAAAGCAGTAACCTAAGGAGTGAATTTAATGGATTCTCAATACATCCATGCCAATCAGAATCTATGCCCCTTGGGCCAAGATATTACAGAATAAGAGGAGGACTTGGAAGGGACCTTGGAGGTCTTCTGCTTCAACCCCCCGCATAAGTAAGACTGAGTCTATTGTCCCAAAGGTGCTTTTCCACAAGGGAGCTGGACTTTCTTGGTTTTTTCCTTTGAAAATATTTCACTTCTCACCCGCAGAAGCTTCTTCAGTTCATGAGTGATGGGGATGAGGACAGATGGGCTTTGTAATTGTGAGGGAAGGCAAGCTCCCCTTAGAAAAAAGGATTGCAAAACTTTCTCTTTCCTCAAAAGCCTGTACATTTGGAACATGGAATGTAAATGTAATGTAACGTTATGTAAATGTCATGTTTTAGTTTTAGACAGTTTTATTGCTTCATAGCTCTCATGGACCAACAAAGCAGCAATGGCAGCCTTGGGGTTATAATTGTAGCGGAAAGAATATATTAATTGACGACTAAATACTAGAAGTTTAAAAGTCCACAAAGGAACAAGTAACTTGCCTCTTTTTATCTCTGTTTTAAGGTTATTTGGCATCCTTTACGCAGGTAGCCCAGAACGGTGTTGGAAAGCCTGGCGCTCGGAATGGCGGTACAGAGGCTGGTGTTCCACCAGGCAGCTGTGGGGGGGCAGCGGAGAGGGCAGGATTGAGGGGTGAAACGGATCGAAGCATCTTCAGGGGATACCTAGGCTGAATTAAGATTTAAAACCACAGCTCGGCCTAGTATCGCAGGAGTTTGTCTTGGGATGCTAAATATAGTCTGACGGTGATGTCTCCCTGACTAATGCGTTCAATCTGGGATTTTCATTTTGAGGTCTTCATTCTTCCAATTTTTGGCTGCTTTCTCATTTCCCCCCTCCCTTCCTTTTTCTGTCTCACCCAATAAAGAGCTCCAGAGTGTGTCAAAGCTTGCACTACACTTTTAACCAGCTTGTGTGGAACTAGTTAAAATATTCTCAGATAACAGAATCAGGATTATCTCACACCGCTGGGCAACGGTGATACTCCAAGGATTAAAGCCCTCCATTATTGACTGATTTACAGGCCTCCCTCTGCTAAAGCCGAATGAAGCCAGCAGGTATCTCAGCCCAGCTGTGACCTAGAACCTTCTCACCTTTTACCCAAGAGCTGAATAAATTATTGTAATATCTGTTTCATTGCACTAAACTGCCTTTGAGACATTGCAATACTGTAAGTAAAAAATAGTAAATAAAGCAAATAAGTAAAAATACATTGAAATAATAAATCTGACCACTGGTTTAAACAGTCGCCCTCATCAGACCCAACTTAGAATTCAGGAAACCTCTTAGTAATGGCTTATGACCGCAGACACCAGGGAGCCCAGCACGATCTCTACCCCAGGGACTTCACCTTGTATAAACCTCACCACCCCAGGCTGGTGGGTGGATTCTGGGAGCTGAAGTCCACAAACATTAAAGTTTCTGGGATTGAGAAACACTGATCTGTATAATATCCTAAATCCTTTTAGGCTCACCAGGGGATCCAAGGGCTGCCTTTATAAGGGGGGGTGGGGGGCAGGGTGCACACATGCATGTGTGCGTGTGTGCATGTGTGTGTGTGCATGTGTGTGAATTTGACAATTATTTCCCATCCTGGATTTCTGGAATATAGCCTTGTTCTGTCCTTTAATTCCACCTGATCCTCAAGAAAACGCAGGAACACTCTGAAATCATTCTAAAGGTACAAGGAATTTCATCTTTTCATTTGTTCCATTTGGGGGCAAAAATAGATCCCAATATTTTTAAATCCTGTAACTGTAACAGCTCTTCACATTATATCCTGTCATGCTTAGCACAAGGGAGCCACAGCCCTTGGATGACACAGAAGTCTAATTTATAAGAGGAAGACGCTGAATTGTGTTAAAGGGTCACAGAAGAATTCCTTCACGGTAGAGTTCTTCTATCCCGTTTCTCCATCTTTGGGCTCTTTAATGCTTGCTTTGTTTGGGCTGACTCTCACTTTTGGCTGTTATTTTATGTGATTGTAATTATTTAGGTTTTGGGTTGTTGTTTTTTAAAGAGAAAAGGGATTGTTAGCTGGTCCTGCCTCTCCACTCTCGGTTGCACAATGTAAATGCCTTGAGTCTCTATGTGAGGTTTCCAGCCTTCCTAACAGCTCTTTGGTGGGTCACAAAAGAAACATCTGAAATTCATAACATGAAATTAATAGCATGTGTTTCACTAAGGCAACTGCTGACCTTTCCCTTACTTTATCCTGCCCAAATTTAAGTCTTAAAAATGTTTTCTTCACAATACAACTTTAGAGGAGAGAAAAACTGAAATCTGAGGAGCAGCGCTGATTCTTACAGTAACCAGTCTGCATGGTAACCAAGGAAGCTTTAAAATTAAGGGAGAGTAGGGGAAAGCAATAAGATTCTTCATTAATCTAAGCGTGAAAAGTATCTGTGAGCTAATGGAGTTCTGACACGTGCAAACAGCAAATATGTAATTGCTATTTTATCAGCTGCACACTGTTGAAAGTTAAGTTTTTATCCTGTGGACCAATGTCCACTGAGCGGAAGGTGTATTTGATAAGGTATCTTAATGTCACATTATGAATATGTAGAAAATATTTGCTACCAATAAAGGAGAATATTTGTAGTGCAGGGTTGGTGCTCTCTGAGCTTGTTTGTTTTCTTGCAGACGTTTCATTACCCTAACTAGGTAACATCATCAGTGCTAGAAGGAGTGCTGTTTGCTGGCAGTTTATATTCTGGTGTCTTGCCTGTCTGGGGGGAGGGTGTGTGTGTGGGGGGTCTTAGGGATTCTTTGGTTGGGCTGTTTAATGATGGGTTCTTTGGCAGTTTCTTGATTGGGGAACTGCTTACTGGATTGTTAGTCTTTTTGCTTCTGGCTCTGATACAGTTTTGGATTTGGTATGAAATGCCTGCCATTATGTGAGAAAGTACGGTATCCTGAAAAAACAAAACCTCTGCATTTCAGAGCTAGCTAACATGGAAGACTCAAGAATAAAACCAGAAAGATTCACCTGCCTATTTCTCTACTGCTATCTGCTTAACGAATTACATAAATCTATAATAGCTCTATCTAGTGGCTAAAACAACCGTCTCTTACAGACTTGCTCTTACAGAATCATAGAGTTGGAAGGGGCCCAGGAGGTCTTCTAGTCCAACCCCCTGCTCAAGCAGGAGCCCTTATGCCAATCTGGACAAACGGCTGTCTTGAATGTTCCTTAGTGATCCCACTTATACAAACCATCAGGATTTGGAAAAGAGGGTTGTTTTTTTTTTTAATCAATGAAAAAAGAAATCACTTGAAGCCGTTTGAATAATGGGGCAACCGCACCAAAAGGGTGATTAGCTCTAAGTTTGCACTGACAGCTAAACGAAAGAACTTCCTAGAGGAGGGAGCCTCCATTCTCCAGCTCATAAATGAGCCTGAAG